AAGGACCCTAAGCTAATACAGCATTCGCAAAGTAGACGATCGAGAGGTTCTATTGAGGTGAGGATATCTTGAGGTTGGTATGGAAAGATATGGTTTAGGTCTCCCCGATGACCACTAGGGCTGATAGTAGCGCTAGAGGATCTGTTGTGACGGACCTAGACTGTGAGTTCCGACAGGCTCCCATGACGACATCCCTTTTGGCGGATGAGCACGGGTCAGAGGAGAAGACCGGAAGGTTCCACCTATTTGGACATCGGAGAGATGGAAAAGAGTTGTTGAAGAAATAGACTAAGTTGGAGAGTTAATTTTGTATTTCTGTGAGACCCCTTAGTTACAGTGATGCGTTGTTATTGCCACCCTTTCCCTCGATACGAGCGATTGAACTTGTGTTGGGGTAGTATCTTGAGGTTGTACTTGGTAAGATGCAAAATAGGTCTCCCAGACTGCACTCAACTCAAAGAATGCAATCGGATATGTAATCATAGAGCACACGAGAGGTTCCTCCTCCCCGTGACCATCGCGATTCCCCTTCAGCCGCAAACACGATAATAAAAAGACTATCCTGAACGACTCCTAACCTTAGTACGAAGAGATATGCAGCACCGACAGATCAAGTGGGTCATATGAGGGATAGCAGGAAAGGCATGTAACAAGGTACGCCGTAACTGAAACACCATACGAAAAGGAGATTCTAAGAAAATTCGGAGTAAATTTTGTAAACAAGCTTACCTGAACTTGATTTTGAGATTGATTTTCACTCATGATAGAGTGTGTCCTGAAAAATTGTGACTTACACCGGAGCATCGAACGCTCTCGCCATCGTTCCGAGAGAGGTGTCCTCGAGGTCTAGACCAACTCACATACTATGGCGGTAAAAACCAACAGGTTCAAAGTGACCTAGTGCCGCTCCTCAGACGAAAGACAACATGTTGGCGAGAATGATAGCGCCTTTAGCGTGTTTATGATGTATACTATAGTGGGTGGGTGGAGGGCTACGGCTATGCAGATGAGAGGACCCCTGGAGGGCACTTGAGAGTCTGCTTCCAAAGAAGAACTACGACGCCGTTTGAGATGAACTGGCAACACAAGAGGGAATGATGATGATCAACTGATGACTGATGCCTCCCAAACGATGGGTCGGATGGAAGTTGAATTAACCTTATCGGTGATTATGGAGGACACTTCATCCGAGTCGTCCACACTTGTGATGAGATGATCTGATCAAATACGATAATAAAAATGCAATTTACTTCGTACTGGTAGAGAGAACATCATCGCCGAGCTGCAATGCCAAATTGTCAAAATCCAGCGGCCAACGAGTCCTCTTATATACCAAAAGTCTGAGGAGAACTAGTGAATGTAAACGACGGCAGCCGGGTGACCTGAGGTCGGCAACTCTCATGCTTGACGGAACTCTGACGTCAATCGGCTGTTTGCTATCAAGCGGGAAGATCTTCAACACGACTGAATCGAAGATGTTTCGAATATCAGCCAATCGTTTTTACGTAGCGTCTTTCCAATTTTATTCTCCCGAGTCGTTTCCACCTCTCCGACTTGATTGGCTTCCACAAAATGAGTATGAATTTCCTCCAACCTCTCGATGAGTCGTCCTCCCGTTGATGTGTTTGCATCGGCGATTGAACGATCGTCTCGAGAACAATGACGATGCAAAACGTACCTGCAGGCGGCATTCGAACGGCATCGAAATTATTCGGCCTCACCGTTCAGCAGCTATACGTTGCTTGTTTGTGATTGACGAGCCATTCAGTTCGTCGAGCTCAGGGAACAGCGATATAAGTAACTAAATTCATGATGCAAGTGGAGGATAATATCCTTCCAGCACGGCCTTCTTAGCTTAGTTGGTAGAGCACCCGCTTAGTAAGCGGGAGGTCGTCGGTTCAACTCCGGCAGAAGGCTTTTCCGAGTTTGACCGAATGTTATGATCATCCCGAAGGCGGCATGCGAGTTACTCGGAACGAGTACACACATGAATAGATGTGAGTAAATCCTCGGAGGCAGTAATTCGCATTCCCCTGCCTTTGCAATTACACGTACACCTCAAAATTTCGATCCTCCCGGAATCGAAAACCAATCGATTGCCCGTAGGAGGACCCCACCTGACGCGATTGATC